CTTCCCTACGCCTTTGCTTCTCAAATCAGTAGCTCTAGCTGACTGTTTTCTGTGTGTTCTTGAACTGTTCCAAAGGGTCCTTTATATAGGGGTTGATCAGGAGTTTCTGATCAATCCCAACTCCTCCTTGGACGGGGATTCAGTCTTTGAATCCAATTGGACTCTTTAGATTGAATCCCCACTCCCAGTAGGATTCTTCAGCTTCAATCTCAACCTTCCAAAAAAAAAAAAATCAAATAAATATAAAAAATAATAGATAATTAGAACAGATAAATAAAAAGATATTATAGTAAAAAAAATATCTGATAATCAGGAAAAAATCAGAACAGATAATTTTAAAAAAATAATAATAAAATAAGATAAATCCAAAAATATCTTACAAAATAATAATAATAATAATAATACAACAATTCAGCTCCATACCATTCAAAAATGAATAAGACAGTAAAGGTTACAAACAAAAACATCAAAAGGATTTTGAAAAGATGACTAAAATATACAAGGACTAGCACGAGAAATTATCTTTTGCTTTACATGCATATCGAACTTCTGTGCACACATCTACTAAGGCAACTTATTTTTTTTTTGGTTTATGAGATGAAAGCTATGTTGCCAGTAGAAGTAAAAATCTTATCTTTAAAGGTCTTAAGGGAAGTGGGATTAGAAAAAGTTGAATGGATTCGGGAGCACTATAAGCAATTTAAATTTATTAAAGAGAAAAAATTGACGGCACTTTGCCATGGCCAATTGTACCAAAGAAAGATGATGAGAGCTTATGACAAGAAGGTCAAACCTTATCAGTTCTGAGAAAGAGAGTTGGTGTTAAAAAGAATTTTTCTAAGTTAGTATGATAATATAGAAAAATGAACCTCGAATTGGGAAGGGCCATATGTGGTAAAAAGAGCTTTTTTTATAGAAGCTTTAATCTTGTCAGAAATGGATGAAGATGAACTTTTTGGTCCTATCAATTCTGATGCAATAAAAAAGTACTTTGTTTGATAAAAAAACAAAAAAAAAAGAGAAAGTTCAAATTAAAAACCCAAAACGATGGTTTGAACCCAAAAATAAAAAAAACTAAAAAAAGAAAAGAAGAAAAACAAGAAGTTCAAGTCAAAAACCTAAAAAGGTGACTTGGATCCAAAGAAAAAGGTTTAAATTGAAACTCTAAAAGGCAGCCTGAATTGACATCACTTGGGAAGGCATATCAGGGACAGTAAATTTTGAAGAGCTTTAAAATGTTAGGGCATCAAGTTTTAACTAAGTTTTTAAAGGAGATCCAAGATTTGTTGTCATGATCATCTAATCAGTTGTCTTAGGGCATTGCTATCCCAAATAGCTACTCCTAAATACTTTTCTTTTAACTTTATACCATCATTTGTAATTATTTATCCAAATAAATGAAAGCCATCTTATTATTCTTTTAATCCTATACATTACTCTTCCTCTTTATACCTATTCGGGAATGGGAGAAATGCATAACTTGCATCCTGCACTTTGAAACTAGGATAATGATTAATAAAACAAAATCATAATAAGTTGTGTGTCACCTTGAAGAATCAAAAGAGATAAAGGCGAATGATGAATACCTCTTAAAAAAATGGAAATTAACTTCCATGACTTTCTTTAGGGTAAACAAACAAGTGGATGAAAAAGGTTTCTTTACAAAAAATGTGCCTCCAGGTGGATGAAAAAAGTTTCTTTTCCAAAAACATGCCTTCAGGCTGATGAAAGATGGTTTCTTTGTCAAAAATATGCCTTCATGCTAATAAATGATAGTTTCTCTGCTAAAGTGTGCAGAAATGAAAATATAGAAGCCTTAGTATCACAATTGATGTTTTAGTTGTATAAGACATGCACTCATATCATCTATTCATTTTATCTTGACTCAACCAAGATCATTTTTTATGATCAATCCAATCATTTATTTACGACCTTGACTCGGTCTTGGTCACCTTTTGACTCACGACATCATCCCAGTCATTTGATCTCGACTTAGGTTAAGTTATCGTCAAACTTGCGACATCAGTCCAGCCATTTATTTCTGACTTTGACTCGGTCTTGGTCACCTTCTGGCTTACGACATCGTCTCAGTCATTTGATCTCGACTTAGGTCAGATCATCATCAAACTTGTGACATCAATCTAGTCATTTATTTATGACCTCGACTCGATCTTTGTCACCTTTTGACTCGTGATATCGTCCCAGTCATTTGATCTCGACTTAAGTCAAATCATAATCAAACTTGTGATATTAGTCCAATCATTTATTTACGACCTCGACTTGATCTTGGTCACCTTTTGACTCGTGGCATCATCCCAGTCATTTGATCTCGACTTAGGTTAGATCATCGTCAGACTTGCGACATCAGTCAAATCATTTATTTATGACCTCGACTGATCTTAGTCGCCTTTTGACTCACGGAATCATCTCAGTCATTTGATCTCGACTTAGGTCAGATCATTGTCAGACTTATGATATCAGTCTAGTTATTTATTTACGACCTCGACTCGGTCTTGGTCACCTTTCGACTCGCGGTATTATTTCAATCATTTAATCTTGACTTAAGTCAGATCATTGTCAGACTTGCGACATTAGACCAATAATTTATTTACGATCTCGACTCCGTTTTTATATTGACATACTTTTGGTAAATACTTTGTGTGATTGAATTAAATTAATATATAATATATTAATTAATTTTTAAATTTCAATAATAAAAAATATTTTTTATTAATCTTATCCGGTATTAAAAAATAACACAAATGTTTTATATTGCGGCACCGCATGGGTACCCTGAGCTTGTATATACTAAAGAAAAGAAAAAGAAACTATCATGCAAGCACTTAAATTTTTAAAAGAAAAAAACACGATACATATAAATGTATAAAGTTCGAAAATGATAGATAGCGAATTTCCTTCATTAACAAAATACAAGCATCAGCGAATTTGTTTAGGTATAGGTCTTGTTTTTCCATTAACAAATGTTGACATTAACCAAATATTCAAAGAGGAAGGGGACCATAAGTACAATTAGCTAAGATGGTGAAGAAAGATGCACAAGAAATGAATAAATAATTAATATAATCTTAACGAATCTAACCAGAAATGAATAAATAATTAATATAATCTTAACAAATCTAACTTTATTGATGTGCTCATTAATATGTTTGGGGATAATGATAGTATATATATAGCTAAAAGAGAATAAATATAGAATTTGTATATGATATATTGTTAGTATATAAATTTTTTATACAATTAATAAATTAGATGATATTATTTTATTAATTAGTAAATATCAATTTTTAAAATAAATATACAAAAATTAATAATTTTTAAAAAATTTTATTCATTAATAAAATGATATTTTCATATTAATTTTATTAATGAAATGATATTATTTAATTAATTGATAATATATAAAATATATACATTAATAATATATCACATATAAATCTATAAATATTTATATGCATATCCAATGAGAAAGAGGAAGTTCGGAGCTGCTGTTTGCCGGGCAAAACCTCAAAGGGTTAGGTTAGCTTTTTTATATAACTTTTTTAAGGTATCAAATTAAACAAAGAAGAAGAAAGATTTTTTTTACCCAAATCTGTTGATTATTGGCATGATTATTTTATTTTATTTTATTTAATTTTAGTTTAGTTTGCGTGTTAACTCTTCCAAATAACAGCTGAAAAAGGGGAGCAAATAAAAGTTTACATTCGCATTTTCCGATCAGTAGTATTTAGTACCTTGCATTGAGTGCCACTTTTCCCATCTGTTTTGATTCCCAAGTTGTCCTTCCATCTGTTTTAAAGTTGTCTTTCTTTTTTGATTTGGGAAGCGAAAGTGGTGCTTGTTTGAAACTTCAATTAGAGAGCATTCTCAATTGCCATTTTTAAAAGATGTATGTAAAACTGATGGTTATAACTTATAAAGAAGCCTGGTAACGTAAAAGTTTTAAATTTATAGAATTCCAAGTTTGGACCACTTGATCAAAAAAGTTGTGCTACTATTGCTGATATACTTGTAATTTTTATTTTAAGAGGGACAGTGGGCGTTTTGGTAAATAGATAATTTTAGATTTAATATGATAATATGATATAAAAATTATATAAAAAATATATAAATATGATATAATTTAAAATTTTAGTAAAAATTATATATAATTTTGATAAAAAAAAAAAAATTTATTTAATATATAAATATAAATTATGATATAATAATTTTTATATTTTATACATATTTATCATAAAATAAATGTGATATTTGTTAAGATCTAAATTCAAGAAAGGGGCACTCGCTCGGAGAGGATAGGGGGAAGGCTGTGATGCTATTTCCCTAAGATGTAAAGGCTAATTTGGAGAAATCAATGAGTCTAAATTGTTCCTCAAATCTGGGCTTTTACAGTCTCTTTTTCTATTACGGTAGGAACCTTGCAGTTGTATCATTGTTTTTGTCTGCCCCTAAACGTTTATCTCCACCAGACCGCAAGAATTCTTTACAGAAATCAGCGTAAAATTAAATTTGACAAAATAACTGATCACATGTTTCTGCTGCTCAATTGCTTATTTGATCAACAACTCAAGGCAGATTACACATTATTTTGATTATTAAGAAAATTGCTCAAAACAACGTCTTCAAATTTCATGTTACATATTTTTTTATTAAAAAAAGTTGTAATTTAAAATTAGAAATAATTATAAATATAAAATTTGAATTTCATTCTTATCAGAATATTTTTTAAAAAATAATTATAGACACGAATTAAATTTCGATTTTTCTGTTACCATCATTTTGATTTGCTAGAAAGATGGTTTTTTTTTTTTTTTTTACTGGAGAAAATTTTTTTACCCTGCAACTTTCAAAAGAAATAAAATCGAGGCTAACAGAATATATTAACTTGTAGACCAAATTTATGGGGGTGGTCTGATGAAAGGAGATTTAATATTAAATGTATGGTTAATAAATAGAAAAGATACTTTTTTTTTTGGTTACAAGAAAATCTCTTCTCAATATTAGGACTAGACTCCAAATATGTCTTCACCAAGTCATAAATGCAAAATAAAAGATTCCTGGTTTCAGTAATATTTTGATTTTCCCTACTTTCAGATAGTTACATTAAAGCTTAAAACTTGTCAATCCCAGTTCAGTCAGCAGCCGTTAGTCCACAATGCATTTCACCTCTCTTTCTCTTTCTCTCTCTTTCTTTCATGATAAGGTGATTTGTTTTTATTCATACCTGAAAAGGAGTTTATTTATGCTTAGTCACAGCACACTATCTCGTTTCACGCCAAAAATCCTTTCGTCATTGTCACAGTTTGTTAAGCCAAAAACCTCTACCCAGTTCTTTGTTTATTACTTTCCTTAATTCTATTGCTCACCTTTTCCTTGCCTACTTCTGAAATCTTTTCTTTGCCCTCCCTTGCTCTTTATATATTTTTCTCTGCCCCCCTTGCTCCTCTAAGCTTTGTCACTGCAACCTATAACTCTCATTGTTCTCCTTGTCTGTTTCTTTTTATATGTGTTTTAGTGTTCTTTCTTGAAAAGGGTCTCTGTTCTTATAATGTAATCTTGATCAAGTTGTCCTTTTTGCCTCCTTTCTCTGTTTGATTAATGTCCTTTTCGTCAAAGCTGTTTTAAACTTGTTCTGGTATATTTCTAATTATGGATTCTCGTTAATCTTGTTCCACTGCCAGTTTGTTCTGGTTTATTTCGATCTTGAAGCTTTCTTCTTAGATTTTGTTAATGCTCATTTGCTTCAAATTGTTTTAAACGATCACCAATGGAGATTAGGATGATGGGTTTTCGTTAATTTTCTGGTACTTGCTTTCAAACTCTTTAAACTTTAGCTTGTCTGAGATTTCTGCCTGGTTTTTAGCATGTAACATTGTACTATGTAATTTGTCAAATCTAACTGCCTTTGATATTGTAGGTTTACTTCTGGCGCGATTTAGTTGATGTCAAGAAGCTTTTTTTTTTTTTTCTCTTTTTGGAACAATGAGGTAAAAAGAAGTGATTATAAATCTGAGTTTTGTTGAATTTGATCGTTAGTTGAGATCTGAAGATATGGAGAGCATCTTTTCTTTCCGTTAAGACCTTGCGTAAATTCACTCATGGAATTTGCTCGTTAGCATCCTTCACTTTTTACAGAAAGATTGAATTTCAGGTGCTTTGATTCGTATCTAATTTGATTCCTTTCACCTGTCATAGCAATATACCCCAAATATTCTTTACAAATTCTTCGAAATGTAAATTTCTTTTTGTTTGAATATTTAGTTATAGCCCTTTTCAAGGGTCAATTATACATATGAAAAACGATAAATTCACATAATTTTTTTTTCTTAAATCTAATAATGACCAACCAGTTCTTGTCCTTCTGCCCATAATTTCCCCAACTTAGCTTAGCTTATGCAAGTTTAGTTACCATACTGGCCTCTCGAGTCCTTTAATCTTTGTTTGTGTGTTGTGTCTTGTATTCTGTCTACATCAGTTGTCTGTCAAACTAAAAAAAAAAAACTTGGAAAAGAAAAACGTTCTTGTTTGCACAATATTGAGCTACCATGGAAGAAACTTTTGTTCCATTCCGTGGAATCAAGAATGATCTGAAAGCAAGGCTTTTATGCTACAGGCAAGATTGGACTGGTGGCTTCAGTGCTGGAATCAGGTTTGTGATTTTCATTGCTCATCTCTGTTCATGTAAGGGATAAAATATGCTCTTATTTATTTTTACCAAACAAATATTTATTTGAAGTTTATGAACATCATTATAAGTTATTTCTTTTAAAGTTGTAATCAATATATACTCTTTGATCATTTAGGATCCTTGCTCCAACAACATATATATTCTTTGCTTCAGCAATTCCAGTTATATCTTTTGGGGAGCAGCTGGAAAGAAATACAGGTAGGAACTGGACACTATACATGTATGCTTGCATGTTCTACTATGTCTGCCATGATTTCTAAGAGATACCTTGTTGTTGTTTCAGATGGAAGTTTGACTGCTGTACAAACTCTTGCATCAACAGCACTTTGTGGCATCATCCACTCTTTTGTTGGAGGACAGCCCCTGCTTATACTTGGAGTTGCAGAGCCAACGGTATTGATGTATACATTTATGTTCAACTTTGCAAAGGACCGAAAAGATTTGGGTCATAAACTCTTCTTAGCCTGGACAGGATGGTATTTCTTCTTTTCTCAGTATACTTCAGTACTGAACCAGACAGATTTTCTGGTGGCACTGAGCTGTTTTCTTTACTTTGATGGGTTCTCAGGGTTTGTGTCTGGACAGCACTTTTGCTTTTCTTATTGGCAATTCTAGGGGCATGTTCTATAATAAATCGATTTACACGTGTTGCCGGTGAATTATTTGGTCTATTAATTGCAATGCTCTTCATGCAGCAAGCTATTCGGGTGAGTATCTCCATGTAACTAACGTCATTAAATGAAATGATCTATTCTTATAATCAGGATAATTTAAATGTTTATGAAAATGCCTTACTAGCATCAGTTAATTTGAGTATTTTTTGTTGTTAATTCAAATTAATAAGTACCGACACTTTTCTCCAATGTTCCCTTCCAAGACTGTGATAAAACACTATCATTTAGTACATAATGAATTTTATCTCACAGGGAGTTGTGGAGGAGTTTGGCATTCCCCAGAGAGAAAATCCTGAGCAAACAGCATTGCAGCCTTCTTGGCGATTTGGCAATGGAATGTTTGCACTAGTTCTGTCCTTTGGCCTCCTCCTCACTGCACTAAGGAGCCGTAAAGCAAGATTCTGGCGCTATGGAACAGGTATTAGATTAGTGCATTCTAATTCTTATCACAAGGGATTAGAGCGTGGTGTTACCTTTGTTTTTGCTATTGAAAGAATAGTTCAGTAACCATGCAATTGTGGCCTAGCTCTTACTTTCATTAATTAAGTTTTCGCTTTATTCAACTGCCTGGTTGGAGAAAGGCGATGCTTTTGTATTGCTTATTTCATTTTACTGACTTATGCATCTTATTTTGATAGGCGGGCTTCGAGGTTTTATAGCTGATTACGGGGTGCCACTTATGGTGCTTGTGTGGACTGTTATTTCTTACATACCTGTTAAGGATGTTCCAAGAGGGATTCCAAGGCGTCTTTTCAGTCCAAACCCATGGTCTCCTGGTGCATATTCTAATTGGACTGTTATCAAGGTGAATCCTGTGTGGTTTTCGAATGTTTAGTATTTGTCTACTCGCTTTCCTTCATGGGAGCTAAATTCTTGTTAAATTTCCTTTCACACATGCCAAGAGACTTATTTTTTCGATTGTGCAGGAAATGGTGATTGTGCCCCCTCTTTACATAGTCGGAGCATTTATTCCAGCAACCATGATTGCCGTGCTTTATTATTTTGACCACAGTGTAGCATCTCAACTTGCTCAACAGAAAGAGTTCAATCTGAAAAAGCCACCTTCATACCATTATGACCTGCTTCTTTTGGGATTTCTGGTGCGCCATTGTCATGGGATACTCTTTTTGAATGATAAACCTATTAAGAAAGTTATAATAATAGTTGCAAACGCAGGTTTTTTCTGCCGAAAGTTCTTTCTTTCTTTGTCTTTTTTTGGTCTTAACAGTTAATATGGTTTTGACTAGGTTATTTTATGTGGTCTTATTGGCATTCCACCATCCAATGGTGTTATTCCACAATCTCCAATGCACACAAAAAGCTTAGCAACCCTTAAGCATCAGGTAATAGATAGTGTACTAGTGGATAATATATTAATGTACAGTGTTTCAGGCTCAACCATCAATTAATTGAAATTTCCTTCCATCCTTCTATATGTGGTTATAAATTGACTCAACTCTTCTTCATGTTTCCTTGTTCTATCCATCCTTCTTTATTTTATTTTATTAAAAACTTTCACAAATTAAAATCAAAAACTAGAATTAAGTCCACCTCTTGACCTCCTGAGGGTAAGGCACAGGAGCTTGGACAATTTTCTTACATATTGGGAGCACAATTTTGAGTTCCCTACCATATTTTGTTGTCTTCTAATAATATTTCCTATTAATTTAGACATAGCCTTTTCATTTTTCTGTTAGTTCTGCTTTCTTATGTATATCATTTTGATTGGTTCTTTGTTTTATTGGTTACAGCTTTTGCGTAATAAACTTGTATCAACAGCCCGAAAAAGTATAAGTAAGAATTCGAACCTGAGTCAACTATATCAGAGCATGCAAGAGGCGTATAACGAAATGCAGACTCCACTTGTCTATCAACTTCCATCTACTTTGGTAGATTAATTTGTATTCATCATTTTGATTTACAACTTATATTATCATCCCCTGGTTTCCCTTACCTTTATTTAAAATAGGGACTGAAAGAACTGAAAGAATCCACCATCCAACTAGCCTCAAGTACTGGCTACATTGATGCACCTGTTGACAAGACCATTTTTGACGTGGATAAGGAAATTGATGAGCTTTTACCTGTTGAAGTCAAAGAGCAACGTCTCAGTAACCTGCTTCAAGCATTGATGGTTGGTGGGTGTGTTGCAGCTATGCCTCTTCTTAAGAAGATCCCCACTTCTGTTCTTTGGGGTTATTTTGCTTTCATGGCCATTGAAAGCTTGCCTGGGAATCAATTTTGGGAAAGAATATTATTACTTTTCACTGCTCCAAGTCGAAGATACAAGTATGTTTCTTTTTTTTTTTTTTCCCTTTTTAACTTTTTATTTCAGTTATTTGAGTACTGTTGGTTGCATTCATTAAGCCAGCCAAAGCTAGCTCTTGTTCCTCTTTTTTTAGGACTCTTGCCCTAGGTTATAGGATATAAACTCCATTTTATATTATGTTAATAATGTCTTCAGCTCTACTCTAAAATCTTCTTTGCTCTGATCATTTCACATTACAGCTCTATCATAAAAACTGTCATGTATATAGACAGTCATTTTTCACATTAATGCTCATGAAAGATGAATAATCTGAAAAGTTTCACTATCATTTTTCAATTATTATGCCCATACTTCAACTTATAATTATTATTCTTTGAAGATTAGACATCTAAACTACGGTATCTGATGTGTCAGGGTGTTGGAGGAGTATCATGCAACCTTTGTTGAGACTGTACCTTTCAAAACAATTGCCACCTTTACCTTGTTCCAGACGGTTTACTTGCTGTTATGCTTTGGCATAACATGGATCCCAATAGCTGGAGTCCTTTTCCCACTTTTGATCATGCTTCTTGTGCCAGTGAGACAATATTTGCTCCCCAAGTTTTTCAAAGGTGCCCATCTTCAAGACCTTGATGCTGCAGAATATGAGGAAGCTCCAGCCATTGCCTACAACATGACATTTGAAGTATGCTATCTGAACCTCACTTAGTTTATCATGGCTATGTTTGTAGCTCAGTTTGCAATTCTGTATAGCTAGGACTGGATTTGAAGCTGCCGTCTGCCATATTTTTCGAGGATCTTTTAAATTGAAAGGGTAGTAAGTGTACTTGTATGAACACTGTGGCTAATTCTATTTAGGTTCTAGTATGGTTGTTCCTTGTATATGCTGCTGTATGCACAGTTGCAAATGCTTGGATAGCATTGAGAAAGATCATGATTTTCAATATGGATTGATCTCTCTTTTACAAGTTTATATACGGATCAGACCATGATCTTAGATCTTTCCTGAGAATTCTAATGCACGGTGTTATGTATACTGGACAGGACCAGGAATGCCAAGCAAGGACTACTCATATTGATGGTGCAGAAATTCTAGATGAAATTATCACAAGAAGCCGTGGAGAAATCCGGCATACACAGAGTCCTAAGGTATCAAGTACAACTCCGTCTTCACTGGGGGATATAAGACCTTACAGCCCACGAGTCTCCCAAAAGGCATATAGTCCGCGGATTAGTCACCTGAGGGGGGAAGGAAGCCCCAGCTTGACTGCAAAGGGACTTGAATTGAAGCAAACTCCAAGTCCTGGACCATCTACACTTGGACAAAGCAGTCATGGTTCATCATCAAGCTAAACAACCTCATTTGTAATTCTGTTTAGTGGTGAGTTTAAATGTCAATGGCACTCGAGAGGTCTTGTGCTTAGTTCATGTAGCTAGAGTAGTCTTTTCAGTGTGCTTTCCAGTTCTGTCTAAAATTAGGGTGATTGTCATTTGTCAGTTCTTTTCATGTGCCTCCCAATAGGCTGGGCAGAGGACTATTTACGATAATGGAATATATGTTTATTTAACTATTACGAATTTTGGCTTGAATTTCTCATTATATTTTTCCTTTTTACTTTATTTCATCAAAGCCTTTGAAGGCTTTAAAAGAAAGAATATCAAAGAAAAGTTTCCGAACACATACATTAAATTCTGTTTGTTGGACTGTCAGATCGATTTGAGAACCTTAAGATATAGCAAATTACATTAAAATGATGAGACTTTCTGCTACTGCAGTTCTGATAATCTGATGTATTCCCTTGAAGATAACTGATACACTACTTGGTCAATCTTCTTTGTAATGTTAATACTTGTTACCTGTTAGAGAAGTTACTTTGCACAATGATGCAAATATTTGGTCAAAAATTTCAAGTGAAGTATCCATTCTTACTTGAAAAGTTTTGCGGTGGAACCTCAAAAATGCGGTGATGATCAGGCATGAGTGACAATTTAAACTGTCCAGATTCTTTTAATAGTGCTTCTGCTTTGCTTGTTTTTCCTGGTTAACCTTATAGAGTTTTAAGATTGCAGGGACAGGCCAAGTCATGCAAGACAACCGAGTAAGTGAAGCCGAAAAGTAAAGGTCCAACATGCATTATTGATTGTTTTACAGATGCAGAGAGAAGCCAGAACAGGTGCATTTGTCTCTGAGCTACTACTCTATAATCGAGATTCTCTTGGGGGGGCACACTTTTTAGCACAAAGTAGTCCTCATAATGCAGAAGTGTACAGACAAATGAAGATAAGCTTTATACCTACCAGTCTTCTAATAGTGAGTGGGAATCTCTTTAATGTAGCAAAGGAAGCATATGCTTTAGTTTTTTGCACTTTTATCTTGTGCAGATGCAAATACTGCAGGCATTGAAGGTGCCATAGTCTTTATTAGGCTTTTAAATTTTTTTTTTTTTCATTTATTCCGGATGTGCATGTTTATTACTTATCTCATCATTACAGGCACAATGGGTGTCGGTTTATTCAATATTGCAAATATCATTGGTATGTGGCCAGATGAGAAAATCAAATTCTCCGACAAGCGATCCAATAAACAGTTGTAAACTTTCCAACAAACACTGTTCTCAGCTGAACAGGTTCTAGGTTTCCAATTATTGTCTTAGCTAAATGTTCCCTGCTTTGTCCGATTTAAATCCAAGGGAATTCCATCTCTCATTTCAAAGAATGTTCTTTTGCTGTCATGTGCTGAAATGAGTTAGTGGCAACAAGTACAGAACTTAGAATTCCGTACTAGTTTCTTAAATCGTGTTCCTGCTATGTAATTCATTGTTATTGCTTGTTCACTTTTTCCATAAACCGTAGTCTGAAGACAATGGAGATAAAGGATGATTCACAGAGAAGTGACTACTGGACTGTGGCAATATATGCTAAGCAGCTAGGGAACACTTGGTAGTGGTAAGTATACTCTGTGTTCCACAATCTCTGCTACTTGTACAAGGGGGGCTCGAAGTGTGTTCTTATTTTTGTCTTGTCACTCCATTATTTGTTCATCTTTCAACTATGCATTTCCTACTGGTAAAGTAGCCATACTTGAAAAGGAGTTCCAGTATATGAAGAATATTTCTTAGTTTCATTTCCGCTGGTTTACCAATTTTAGTTCATACATGAAGAAACTATTGGCTTTGTAACTTGTTGAACCGTGTTGCTATTTAGTGAAAGGGTCACCAAAGTGTCTTTCAGATTCTGTTTCCTGTTGCCGTTATTGTATTTGCTTGCCTTTCCATTAGACTCGCTTTTGGAAGAGTCAAATTGATATATTTGCATAAAGACAGATTTGATTATCTTATCTGGTCCCCATTTAAATTGATGTAAAGGTAGTGGAAACTTCATCAACCCTGAAGGATTTTTTATTTCTAAATTCATGTAGGCAAAGATCAAGAGTAGCACCACAATCATATCACATCAGCTATGAAGCACTGACGCGAACACGTAAACAAGTAGGATACGATAATTTTTAAAAAATAGAATAGAAACACAACAAGATACGATAATAAAAAATATTTTTTATATATTATAATTATCAATTAAAATATATAATAAATATTGAATTGATGTTTAAAAGATATTTACTCTTATAAAAAATCTAATAGTAGACACAACAATAAAAGAACATATAGATTCATTATCCACATGAGATTTTCTTTTTCTTCTTTTCTTCTTCTTTGTTGTATTTAACTAAATTCAACACATATTTCAACGTGTTACAAATTTCAAAGTATCCTACACGGATAGACATTGACACATGAGGAGTTTGATAGTGTCCATGCTTCATGTCATTTCAACAAACTTTTTTAATATTAAAAGAAATCCAATTTTATCCTAACAAACTCTAATTAGAGCATTGCTAGTTTCAAGAATCAAGCTTAAGACATCTTTATCTTGAAGATAATAATAATTATTCAATATAAAAATATCTTCAAATATTCACGTTTGCTTATTTTACATTTAATGTGTAAAATATAAAATTATGTCACAATTTTTATGAACATATCAAATGTAAAATATATATTTTTATTTTTGTTAAATTTATTTATGATTTTTATTAAATTTTAAATCATTATATTATCATATCATATTTAAAATTATTAAGTTAAGTTGGAAAAGAATCCCTATTTATATTGCAACAATTTAGAAAAGTTGGGAAAGTGTAAGTTGTTAAGGTATTATTACTCCAACGTTTGCTTCTTAATTATGTACTTTTACTGGAAACCAAGATTGAGACACTGTCATCAGTAAAACGAAGTTCTGCATGAGAAATGCTTAAAATTTTAGCTTTGTTCATCTCTCTTTCAGGCTTAAAGGGTAAAGTGTGAACGTAAAATGAAACCCGAGGCCCAATGAATTATACTGACCGAGCTTGAAATAAGATTTTAAGGCCCAAGAGCTTGGTCCAGTGCGGCCTGACATGGGCATCCATAGGACGCAACACAATCATTTTACTGGCGTCAGAAATGGGAGCTTCAGCGGTAAAGCTAGTCTATGGTGCGCGCAATCGGAGTACCGGGTGATCAAAATGGAATCATTTCATCTTGGGGAATTAGGCACACCAAACCCTTGAGAAATAAATTCTCAATTTTGTCCGAAGACTCACCACTAAGATTAAAATTGTTCTTATTACATTTACCACAATAACGGGTCACTAGTAGTAGATGGAAAGACCAACATTGAATTTTTTGCTGTTTGTTTCGGCAATGGATTGCATCTGACACCGGAAAGGCAATGCAGTATTCTTTCAGGAAGGTCTTAGGGTTTCCAATGAATCATGGCTTTCCACTGCATACATGTGTTTATGACCATTTAACACTACTTTGTATGAAATTGTTTCTTTTCCTAAAAAGCTAACACATTTAAGGCTTTTCTCTTCTTTTTTTTTCTTTTTTAACTCATTTAAAGCATTTCATAAGTACTACTATAAAAATATGTAATTAAGAACAGCTATTTGAATTTCCAACTGATCTTTAAATCAATTGTATGATATTAGAAATGACGTTTGAAAGTTGTAAATTCGAAAAAATCTATATGTGTAATATATATATATATATATATATTTATTTTAAGAATAAAAATAGAGAGTTCAAACTAGATAAAGAATTTAAAGAAAAAAATACAGCTATTGAATTCAAGGATTTAAGATGAATGGAACTGGGTGCGTTACCCTGACTGTAATGTAACAATTAATAGTTATTAATAGTATCTATTTTCTAATGAAAATATTTAACCCAACACAAAACTAAAAATGAAAATCTGATGAGCTTTAACATGGGTTGAATTCTGCCTTCATTATGTGCGACCAAAATTAGAATTAGCATTTTTATCATTAATGATGCTGAATATTACCTCAATCAAAGTGATTTAATGAGTGTCTTACTGTTTTGAGCTTTCAGTTACAAATTAATGCTCATTTATTATGTAAAAATCTTTAATATTTTAAGCTTCTGACAAATTGGATCCTTTAAATTGTGTTTTGGATTAATTAGATTTTTTAAATCTTCCCATTAAATAATATATACCAGAGAAAAAAAATTCTTTAATAAAAGAACTCAAAGTTGAAATGACATGGCCAAAACACTTGTTCATCAATTCTCATGGAGTTTGATCCAAAACTTGGGGAAAACATTACCCCTCAAGACCACCATTCGATGTTATTGTCAGAGAACTCTCTAAAACCCTATATGAAAGATGATCTGTTTCCCTTTGAAGCTACTCCATCGTCAAAGTATTATTATTTGCAAGAGTATTTTCACCATCTTGATCATCAAATTCATGTTAATGGATCATCTTTAAACCCTGTTTGTTGTGTCCAAACAGCTTCTTATGATCCTTTTGATGCATTCCTTTATGGCTGTTCCACGAATAATGTTGAGTTTTATGAGTGTTAGGAGTTGGAAGATAATGTAGGACATGGACAAGTTATGGACAATTTCCAGAGTGGAGGATTATTGTTAAACCTTTCTCAGAGGACCTCCATTGATGTTATGGGATCAGATATTGGCTATATGCCCTTTGATTTTCAAGAAATGAACCCTGTGAATTTTGTTGTGCCAGTTGCAGTCTCGTGCGTGACTGCAGAAAACGCTTACTACAAGAAAGTTGACATGAACAAGAATAGTGTATTGGCTTCAACGTCTAGAAGGGCTTGGAAAGGTCCTAAGAAGTCCAATGTAGTCAAGGGACAATGGACTATTGAAGAAGACAGGTATGGAGGTTTTTGTTTCTAATTTCTTTTTCAAAATGTATAGTATTCATAATGTTATTTCCGTATATAAATTGATTGAAAACACGCATGTTTTAGATATAATCATATGAAATTCAAATAATTCAATCAATCAGAACGTTAAAATATAATGTCTTCTATATATTCACTCCTTTTGTTCAGCATGGTGTTATTTTCATATCTAATTTACCATCTAAAAGTATGTACACCTCAAATATGATTATCTAAAATAATACTTATAGACTATCTTTTGTGAGTGTATATATGTTATGTATTAACCTTTTTACACTGGATATAACAGATTTTACTAATCTCTCTTGGGTCATATACATGCTTCCACAGGCTCTTGATTCGATCAGTTGAACGGTATGGAATGAGAAAATGGTCTCATATTGCTCAGATGTTGCCTGGAAGAATAGGGAAGCAATGCAGAGAGAGATGGCACAACCATCTAAGGCCGGATATCAAGGTTCACTGTAGTTCTTTATCTTTCGAATATTATTGTATTATTTTATAGTAAATTACGTGATGCACATATTAACATATATGAGTTGAGAATGTCAATTCTACTTCAATTTTTAACATTATATGATGCTTTACAGAAGGACACTTGGAGTGAAGAGGAGGACAAGGTCCTAATACAGGCTCATATAGAGATAGGAAACAAATGGGCAGAAATTGCAAAGAGCTTGCCTGGAAGAACAGAAAACTCCATCAAGAACCATTGGAATGCAACCAAAAGAAGGCAATTTTCAAAGAGAAAATGTCGTTCAAAGCACCCTAGAGGCTCCATTTTGCAGGAATATATCAAGAGTTTAAACTTGGAGTCAAGCAGCACAAGATTCCAAGAAAAATATTGTAATGGTATTGATGATAGAGAAGAGAAAAGTTTAAGCAAACCATCAAATCATCAGCCACAAGCTTTGGAATTTTTCCCTAGTACTGATAGTTTGGTGCCAGAATATGATTTTAATGAGGTCCCTGAGTTTTCTTTTGATGAGAAACTGCTTCAAGAGAGCTGCAGCATTGACTCTCTTCTTGAAGAAATACCTTGCGCTCCTGTGGCTGATGCAGCTGATCATCCTGATCAGAAAAGCTTTGAGATGGATATGGCTCCAGTGAAGAAGGAGCTGGATTTGGTGGAGATGATCTCTCAACAGGTTAATATCTAAATGGGCCCCTAAAACCAGTACAAAGACAAACTACATATTAGAAGAGGTTTAAGGTTTTGATTCAAGTGTTTCTTAATAAAAAAGCATATTTTAAGGGATATAGGGATGAGAAACATCTTGGCTTAGTTAGAGATTGTGGTATCAACAGAAAATATATAGGTGCATGCCATGCCATGCAGATTTGCGGAAAGAGATTAAAAATAAGGATAATAGTAATTACAAATAAAGCGACTTAAATTGGTTGGAAATTTCGTAACATGCAAACATGTTAATTTATACATATGTATGAATGTAACAATGTATATGTCAATGTAGGCATGCACGGAAGATTGCATACCCAGTACTGTTGGATCTTTTTTCTTCTTTTCTTCTTCTTCTTCTCTTTCTTGCGTGGGGGTGGGGACTGGGCATTCCGCTGATCTGCTAAAACACAATTCCGTGCATTTCTGTTGGGTTCATAGCATACACATCGTTTTGGCCCGAAAATCTCCTTTGGGAGAGACTTGGATTGGATTATAGTCCTAATGTAAGACTTGCTGGCATGTAGACGGCCTAGGGAACCAAATTCCATTTTCAACTCTTTTTTGGCTGTCCCTTTGGCAGGAGAAATTATGAGTAACAATTTAGGAGGGCTATGAAATAATTATTTACAAATTGCCTACCTATCGATGTATGTTAACTCAAAAGAACAGGGATGTTTCCCCTGTTGTCCTTTCCTTACCCATAATTATTGTACTACACCACAGCCAATTAATCGTACAACGAACCATTGGAACATATATCAGGCCCAATACAACTGTTTCGGCAGCGATATTGGCTCTTTGATAAAATCAAGGGTCATTCCACAAAAGGAATTAAGATTATCCCAAAGACGAAAATGGACAAAAATCAAAATGGGAAAATGCAAACCAAACTGACTATTAAAGTTTCTTGCCTAAACTACAAACTAGTCCTTCAATCAATGGCATGAAACATATATCCTCTAAGCTGCCTTTGCCGTTGGCTTAATGCGCTTCACCCTAGAATACAGGAAAACTCCGGCAAGAGCAATCCCAGTGCCTGCAAAAAAAAAAAATCACCACAATAAGATTTTATATCGATAGAATGAAAACTCCGACATCTTTCAATAAGATATTATTGAAAAGCAATTTTACCGAGAGAATTAATTGGTAAGACAGGTGTCTTAAAGAAAAGAACAGAGCTGACGATAACAACCACCCGCTTCACACAGTTGCCTACAGAATGAGTAACTGGGGATACCCTTTGCAGTATCATATAAGACACCTGCATAATTTTTTGAATCACCATTGCACTGAGTATCATGTATTAGAAAAAAAAGATTAAGGCTACATTTAGAATAATTTGACATAATTTAAAATGATGTTACTTTCAAAATAAACAAGAGACATTCAGACTTCCAACATAATCACTGGACTCCCCTTGCATCCATCATTTTTTCATCTTTTTTAAGGGAAAGACTTCAGTGAGGTTACTTAAGTCAAGTTCTTAAGGTCCTCATTAAAGTTAATAAACAACAATTAAAACCGATAGATTGATACGTTAAAAATTAAATTAAAATAACATCAAAGCATAAAATTTCATAGATGTGCATTGACGGTGAAAACTTCATTAGGATTCTCAACAAAAACACCCATCTAAATAAATTATCAAAACATGTTCAAATTATTTGAAAATTTGTATATTTCATCTATATAACAAGATCTTTTAATCTATAGGTTTTGATTTTCAAATTTAATTTTTTCTTGATTATTTTTAATAAGAAACATCACAAACTTGACCTAAGAAATGACCTAAGAATCTTACCTAAATCTTGTCCCTTTTTAATTTCATTCTCCACACTTCTATCAGTAATCTGTGACTTTGTATTCATGCATGAGATTCTTAAGGAAGACAGGAAAACCATCACCATGCAAAAACCTCACCTGCTGATAGGCATGGAAGCAAAGAGCAGCGAGTAGAGTTCTTACAACAACTTCTTTAACATTCAAACCCTGTTAGACAAGATAATAGTATACCTCATTACAAGGAAATTTATGCAACATTCGTTTTTTTATCAAGAGTGAAATCAGGCAATTATAGCAACTTTAGCTCATCAGGAATACTCACAGCAGATTGCAAGTAGGCAGGGGTGAACTTGACACCCTCCATCAAAATAGCCACAGGGGCTAGCAAGATAAAGGACATAATTGTTATTATTGAGAAGAGGGTAATGTTGTCCAGTGAGTCCTGTCACATAATAACTGCTAGTTATGTGCCATTATTAAATCTAAAATTAGATTAGCAGTGTAAAAGACCACGTTGCAGTGTATCAATCAAGCAGTGAACAGAATTTCAGCTCCAACAAATGTTAGTACCATAGCAACCAAAATCCCAGAGATTGAAAAGTAAAATTACCTCTTTCTTAACCATGACTTTTTTACTGAGAACGTTACGAGACTGGTTTGCCAAATTGGATGCCATTGCACTCCAAAATCCAGCCCTTTATGGTAAAAAGAATGTTATATTACAATGATGTAGAGTAATTCAACAAATACTTGGTATCAAGATATCTGTATCAGAATCAGAAATGGATAGCACATGAAAGAAAAGTTTCCACAGTTAAATATTGATATTACATGTTAGCATATTCAATTCTTACCAATTGAAAGAGGCCTCAGTAACAGATGCAAGTGCAACTCCTCCAACAATTGGTAAAAGGGAACCAACTACCCAAAGAGTAGGCAGCTGTAACAGCCAAACATCATAATAGAAGTTAGAACAACCAATGTGAAAAATAAACAATGAATAAGTTATCTATAATATGAAATTGCATTACTTATCCAAATAAAAAGAGGAAGAAATTGCATCAGTTTTCTCACAAAAAGGGATTTCAAACAGGCAGTATGATCACTCATGCAAACAATAAAGTCAACAATTTGAACAAGTTCGAGAGATATTACATAATAAAAGAAACTCAAATAGGTATAACTTATCATTGATATAAATTATAATCTCAATTTTTTAAATTTATAGATGAAAATGTGAATGAAAAGAATATTGATGAAAATAACTAAACAAGAAATCACACCTCTCCTAAAAACATTGCAGAAAGCACAACTGAGAAGAACGGCTCCATAGCTTTAATTGTGTGAGTGAACGAAACAGCCACTTTCCCTAGACTCATGTTTGTAAAGAGGTTGCCCAAGATATGCACCACAGCAAGTGGCAGAATCGCTGCAAGCTGTGAAGAAACAATCCAAGAATTAGTATCATTTCAGAAAAGAACCAACAACCCCAATAGAATCACTATTTGAACCTGAAAAAAGTCCAAATACCTGAGCACCCGTTATTTTCGGCCTCTTATACAGATTAAAAGTCCACATTAGAACAACCAGAACAGTCCCAACAGAAAACTGAATTACAGAGACAGTTACAGGGTAGTGGTAGACTTTAAGAACCTGCGAACAAAGAAACAGAATTCAATCACACTCATTCTCCTCATTATATCCGGGGGTTCCATTTTGTTTGTGCATTGTTGCATTTTGTTGCTTCCTAGAAAGTGCAAAAAATGTAAAGCAAATACTAAAGAGAAAAACCATGCAATTTATTACAAATAAACATATAACCAAATACAACACTATTTCTAACATGATTACTATGTATGAAAGTAAAACTATATATTTTGTTCTCCAAAAAAACCCAATTTATTACTATTTTTTAATTCTTCAAAGTTATTAGTATTTACTTTTGCATCCAATTGCACTTTCTTTTATCTTATTGCTCCTGAAAGCATAAAACCAACAACAAACCGCCTCGAAACAAATTCTGGTATAACTAAGCAATGATTGGATTGAATCATTTGGATGCTTCACATGAACCTTTAAGCTTTCATTGAATTTACTTTTCCAGTAAAAGACTTCTTTGCACCTTAATTTTCTTTTAAATTTTTCTTCTAAACGAAAATTTCAGGAAATATTTGCTAATTAGCTGAATTCAAATTGAAAACTACCAAAAAAGAAAACCAAGGAAAAATGAATAAAACGTGAATATAAATACAAGAAAAAGGAGATCAGAGATTGCTTTTTATAGGAACCTGTTTGTTGTAGATATTGAAGTAGATATTGAAGAGGTACCACAATCCAAACAGCAATCCAAGCACCAAAGTCTTCGCCAAGCTACCTGACTTCTCACCTTCACCAGCACTCTCCGCCACCGTAGCTTTAACTTCAAAGAGGTCCGCTTTGGAATCGGAAGGAACCGAGGTCCAAGCCCGGAGCGGGAAGGCGGAGGAGGAGGAGAGAGACCACGATCGCTTAGGCAAAGAAGGAATCGAAACAGCATTGCTTGAAGCAGAAAGATCAGGCTGTTTGGAATCGGAGAATGAAGAGGAAACACGAATAGGATCAAATCTAGGGTTGGAGCCGAATTTTCCCAGCTTGAGAGAAGGAATAGAAGAGGGAGAAAACAAAGAAAACGCTGCGCTTTGCATTTTGTTGGTAGTTTTAATTCGATGGGAGATCTAAATGGGAGATTTAGGGAGAGAAAGGAAATGAAAAGAAGAGCTTTGGGGAATCCGTCCAGAAGATGGTTGGTGGGAACAAAGATTTTGCGGAGTTGCGCCTGCTTTGCTTCCCTCGCAGTCCCTTCAGACTCGGGCCGAAATTCTTTTGTTTTTTTAGCGAAAACGAAAATATGTTAGAATTTTTTTATTACTAGTGGAATGAATTTTAATTTCATTTTCTTTCGTTATTTTTTTAAAACTTTAAAATTATGTTTTTTTTTAATATCTAAAACTTGTGGTTTTATTATATTTTAAAATTATTTTTCATAATTTTTTATTTTTTTAATATTAAAAATTATGAAGCAACAAATTTTTAGAAATTAAAATTTTAACGTAAAAAAACATAAAAATCAGTTTTTTAAACTCATGAAAGTAAGAAAAAATATAAAATTAAAATATACTAAAATAAAAACAATTAACTGTGACGTGAAAGAAAAAGACATAAAAAGTGAAATAAATGAGTATTTAGAGAGGGGAACGGTGGGAGTGTACAAAAAAAAAAAAAATTTAGAGCTAATTGGAAAATGACGATACCAAAAGATAATTAAAAGATTAATATTTTATTTGAACGAATGATGAGATTGATTATAATAAAATTAAAAAATAATAATAAAATTTATTATTAATATAATTAAAAAATATTGTAACTGTAATTAAAAAAATTTTAATAAAAAATTTATATTGATTTGATCTTATTAAAATTAATATTTAAATTTAAATGTGAACTAAAAGTCTATTTGGATAAACGATGAGATTAATTTCAGTGAGATTAAAAATAATAATAAAAATAAAATTAATTATTATAGTGATGAGATTGAATACTATAACAATGAAATTAAAATTAATAATAAAATACGTGTTTGGATATAAAAATAATAGTAGTGGTGAGATGAATTATAATAAAAAAAATGACTATTAAAGATAAAAGAATAAAAATTATATTAATAAAAAAATTAAATTATTTAATATTTATAAAATTAATAAATTATTAAATTATTTTAAAATAAATTAATAGTTTTGCTAATAAAAATTAAAAACAAAAAATAGTGTTAAAATTAATAAAATAATTATTATATTAAACAAATAAAAATATTTATATTGAACGAATAAAATAATTATAATATTAAACTAATAAAAACAAAGGCTAGTGAAAAGGATATTTTTGTCACAACACTATAGTGACGGGGTAAAAGAGGAAAAAAAATTGAAACATGGCAAAAATGGAAAAAGTGGAGCGTAATTGGAGAAGAAACTTCCACCGGATCCCTTGAGGTCCAGTGGCTCCTTGGAGCTTCAGTGCGATGGCCAAGCTTCAATCTCGCAACATCCTGTTATCCAAACAAGTTTTCAGCGCGATTGGGTGCTTTAATCGTGCCGCACTGCAAGGAATCGCTGATCCAAACGAACTTTAAAGTCACAGGTACGTTGAGTGGGGTTAGGTTGAGTTTGAAGGTAGGTAGGAAATAGGAAGAAAGAAGCGAGGAAATTAGCATCTAAATATGGGATTAACAACAATAGACAATCTACAATATATTATGATAATAAAATAAAAATTGATATAAAAATATAAAATTAATATAATTTAAAATTTTAACAAAAATTATATAAATTTAAAATTATATTTTATATTTTTGATTTATATAAATTATAATATATAAATTTTTTATAAAATATAATATATTTTATACGAAATAAATATATCAATTACCAAAGCTAAAAAACATTTAATATGTTTGATTAGATTTAGTTGAGTCCAATAATTAGGGTCTTAAATTCCTATCAAGTGTCTTTGCTCACACAAATTTTTTAAATAAAAAATAAAAACATAGTTTTTATTTAATTTTTAGTATTTTTATTTTTATTAAATTTTAAAACATGAATAAATTAATATATTTTTAATATTCAAATTATAATATTATATATTTTATTTTTATATAATATACATAAATATAAAAATAATAATATTACTTCTTCCATATCATTTTCTTTATTTGTTTTTTTTTTTTGTTTTAGATGTCATAAAATTATGCCTTTTTTCAATTTTAGAACACTTTTTAAACTTATTTTTTTATATTTCAAAATTATTTTTCATAAATTTGTTACTTTTAATATTAAAAATTATGAAACAGTAATTTATAAAATGAAATTAAAATTTTAATATTAAATACACTAATATCAATCTTTTTACTCACAAAAACTCGACGAAGGATAAACAAATAGAAAAGAGATATATAATTGAAAAAAAGGAATTGGATTACACCATACTCAAGTATTGAATATCAAAATCAAATGTGACCTATTTTTTAAATGAATTTTATTTTTAGCTCAAATTCTTTAACAAATTTAATATTTTTATTCAAATCTTTAAACGGACGGACATTCGAGATCGAACAAAAAGTCCGAGCGGTGTCGGAGGAAATGGAGAGATGAAACTAGATGCCTCTCTTTGATCTTCGCTCAGATTGGAGAGTGGGTGATTAGATTTGTCTACCTAAACTTCTTATTGTTAGTGAATATTGATGTGAAAGAAATTTGCGACAAGGTATTTTGTGTGTGTGAAGGCTGCTGCTTAAATAAACTTATTATTATCTCAATGCCTTGATAGTTTGATGTGGTGTGCATTCTGTATATTCAAGGAAGCCAACAGTGAGCTTTAGGATGGCTGATGATAAAAGTTATATGGATTGTTCCACTAATTAATACAAAAACCACCACACGCTCCATTGCCGACAGCTTTGCTTTAGCGGGGGTAGTCCTTCAACAACTGCACCTTGATGTCAGATGGACCACCCTATTAGGTTTGGTAAGGGAAAAAATGATAGAAAAAAAAAAAAAGAAAAAGTAACCTATAATAGAAAGATTGTATTATTTGTTTGGCTGCATTACCTACACCAATGCCAGAGTTGAAATAATACATATAAATATTTGATTTGGGTTATTAATATTTAATTTCTTTAGGTCACAGAGATGTTTAATTTATAAAATTTTAAATTTTAAGAAAGAGTGATTTTTAAAAAAGTGTGAATTTTTTGTAAGGGATATATTTTTTTATGATAATATTAAATTTTTATATTTGATTCGTAAAATCTTAAATTACATAATAAAGATTTTTATTATAATATCTTTTATAATCATGTCAAAGACTATGTTTTTGTAAATATAAACTCAATCTTTCACCAAAAAAAATTATAAAATCAAATATAATCAAAGATTATATTTTTTATATATAAACGCTATATTTATAACAAATACTATATTTCTATGAAAATAAACACTGTGTTTAAAAACAACTAACCATTACGTTTCTTTATTAAACAATTGCGTTTAATTAAAGATGATGTTTTTTTGATAAAAAAACATAGTTTTTGGCTTTAATCAAAGACTATATATGTACTATGCTTATACATATAGTACAAATGTATAAGCATAGTACAAATGTAGTCTTTGATTAAAGTCAAAACTTGTGTTTTTTTTTTTTTAAAATCATCTTTAATTAAACGTAATTGTATACATATATATCAGAAATGTGGCCTTTTCAAAGATCATGTTTTTTATGTCAAAAATGTAATCTTAGTTATTAAACACTATTTTTTGGTATAAAAACCATAGTTAAAAGTATTATAAATATTATTTTATAATATTATATTAATTATTATGTTTTTAACATAAGAAATGTTGTTGATATGAAAATATTCATTTTATTTTGTTATTATTTTAATTATTTTACTATGTTTCATATATAAATAAACATAGTGTTTTCTAAATTGAAAAAATTCAAAAATCTAAAATTACAGTTATTTATTATAACGTATAGATCCCATGACCTACTGTTAGATATAGACTATAGGAATCGTCACCAATCTTTTGTTTAAATGTGATTGACCACTTGACAGAATCTATCATATTTAAAGAGAAGTCCCAATAGTTACTTAGGCTTCTTTAAATAATAGATTCTAGTCTATAAAATTAGATTTTAAGTTTGAGAGTACAGTTACTCTTGAGAAATGTTATAGTGTCCTTATAGCACCTATCCAAATGATGGTACCAGTTTGATTTTGAATTATTCAAGCTTTAAAACATATATAAAATTTACCAAATAATTTAATATTGAAAATTTCCTTAAATCACTCAAATATATTGGTAATAATTTGAGAATATTTTTTTACCTTAAGAGTATTCAAAAAAATTATTTATCACGCTTTGAAGAGGTACTGTCTTGGATTCATTTAATTTTGCATCTAGAAACAAACTATAAACCAACTTTATAGCATAAGATGTTCTACAATCTGATGGTAAGATTCTTTATTAAAAAATTATCATCTAGTCTATTGGTAGGATTATATGAAAAAAAATAAAAAAAATATTATTTTATTATTTTTATTTTTAAAACTTGATTTTTTTAAATTATAAAACTCTCTAAAATGTTGGTAAAGCCTTATTTTTTAAAAGCATTGGTCCTCTAATCTGTTGGTAAGGTTTTTAATTTTTATACCATTTGTTTTGAAATACATAAAATTATAGGATTCTCCAATATGTTGGTAAAACTCTATTTAAAAAATTTACTTTCCAATATTTTAATTATGTTGTTTTTTCTGTAAAAATATATAGATTTTAAAAAAATAATACATACATAAATAAATAAACAGAAGGAAAACAAATAAAACAAATACTTGAAGTCAGCTCGAGAGGCGATTAGGCAGTGCAGCTCAGCTCCAGGTACCAAAAAGCTTTAGTTGCTTGGCTGGGGTGATTGAATCCCTACACGGCTTAGCTAAAAGGGAATCGGGTCGGACGCAGGTGCGCAGGTTCTAGGTTATCTGTTTAAAAACATGAGGATTTCTTGGACTAGTTAAACGGTGTCGTTTGATGGTCTTTTAAAAGCAAACCTTTTTTTTCTTCTTTTAGATTCCAAGTTCCCATACTTTCTCCAGCCAAAATCCTCTGATCTCATGCTCGAACTTGAACTCGGACTCAAAATATTTTATTAATTAAAATAATAAAAATATATTTAAATATAAAAGTTCGATTAGGCTCGCGAGCTACTCGAGTCAGATATAAGAATACTCGAATTCGGCTCGATCGATAAGTTGAGCTACTCGAGCTCGAGCTCGACTCAACAATAATCGAACCGAATTCGAGTTTTTTTCGAATCG